GCGTTTTGTATTATTTGCATTCATTCAGTAATATTATTCCTACTCATACGATCCAAAGAATCGCTCCCTCTCCCATTGGTCACAACACGATCAATCAAAAAATCAGTACGCTCTGAATGTCTACCCTCATATTTAGTTCCCTAAAAGCTAAGAGTCTTGTTATACCGCTACAATAAGAATTTTAGCTATTCACAGGTTTATGAATGAAGAAATTACTCATAGAACGGTAATGATTCTTGTCCGATCGAGGCATTACAAAACCAAACATGATCCTAGTTGATATGGTTTGCGTTTGGGTGAATCTGAGACCGTTTTATGCAGAACTGCGTGTATTTTGCAACAAAAACTTCTTTCTTAGCACTTCAATTAATAGCGTTAATTGGGCTTCAATGGCTCGAAACAATACCGTCGAATAGAAATTCCCATTAATTGCACTGCAACTCGATGGTGGCAGTGGCGGTGTTGCTGTACGAAATTTTGTCATCAGAAAACGCTCCAATGCTGAGGCTGAAGCTTCCGCCATTGACGATGACATTTGTTTTCAGTTCGCTTTTCACAGTGTTGATTCACTGTTCGCCTTTTACAATATATAACAAAACTGATTTCGTTTCGTAGAGCAATTTCGTAGATATGAGCTAAACGCAGCACAATTTTACAAAACGAGTCATTCAGATTTTCAAAAACATTTCCGGCGTTCTCGAAATGTTCTTAAGAATCCAAATTTTATAAAGTAATCACTGATTGTCAGTAAATTCACATAGCAACACAAGTAAAAGCAATGGGCTCTAATAAACACTGATTTATTATCCAATTGAATTCCGCTATCCACAGGAATTTTGCTAGAAAATCACTTCAAAATGACTAATTCATCGTGAATCAATAATGATTCCAAAAAATTTGGTCATAAACAGGACTGCAGCCTTGCGGTTATCCTTCCATTAAATCGGAAGTATCTCTATAAAATCTCTGCCAGCATCTCATNGGAAGCTTATAAAGATCACATGAACGAAATATTATACAAGATAAGAAATTAAACGTCGTCAAAGTGAAAGAAGCTACTGCGATCATAGACTAACTAACTAACATCTACTAACAACTTTATTATAAGAGAGATTTCGCAATGGATGAGATTAGCCATTCGATCCTATTAATGACTTATCCTGCTCCAAAAAAATATTGTAATGTAATAATTTTTCTCATAAACAGTCAAATTTTAAAAAATTAACGATTGTTTTCGAACTACTTTTCAACTAACCCCCTAAAATAATCCTATAGACTTAAATGTATAAATTGCTTTCACTTTAAAATGATTTCATATTCTTACTATAAAAAGTCCTAGAAGTGCATAGTTTCGCAATCGCATAAGAAAGATCATTAAAGAATTATTGTGAACAGCACAATACGACATTGTTGCCAGCACTGCCTGACGAATGGTAATCCCATTAAACTATTATCCTTTCTTACTACGAAAATTATTCGTATCTTCTGCTTATTCCTAACGAAAGTACCCTCATAACGATGATAATAACAGTACTTATAATAATAAAAATAGTAAAGATTGCAATTCTCTACTGATTCACCACAATATTGTTATTTGATCTGTTTAATGTGGACAAAACATCGTAAATCCAGTTTTATCACTGAATGCACGCAACGAAAATCATTAAAGTGACAATTTCATTAATCTCTAGATAATTTTTTAGTGATTTTTCATCATAAAACTTTCACAAACACATCAAAACAATCGTAAATTAAACCGAGTAAGTCAATTAAAGTGAAATGAAATTAAGCGCAAGCGATGAGAAGTGACTGTAGAGTGCACAAATGACTAAGTGTTCAAGATATTGTCTTCTCATAAACTGGCGAGCGATATCGCGGCTCTGATTCAAGGTTAAACACAGCCAACTGTCATCTTCTGCATGGCGCAGAACAAATGCAATCAAATCGGTGGGGTGTATTCATTCATGATTCACTTAATTGTTTTCATCGCAACAAATCGTTAATTAATTACGCACACAAGGCGATAAATTTATATTGGTGTTTGGCTCAGCTGTGTACTGTTAAAATTGAAACTATTATTGTCATTATCTTCATCAATATTATCATTTTATTATTATTATTATTATTATTACCGTTGTTATTATGATGATATCGTTCATATCATTGTGGTATTATCATCGCTTCCCTTGCTCTGAATCTCTGCATAAGAATTGCAGGTGCTCTTATTAATAAGCCAGAAAATCTCGACAACTCAAAAATTTGAACTGGTTGAAGTTCGGACTTCAATATGGCCTAGTACCAATACATGGATTGAGGCTTATTCCTCAAGCTCACGCTTACGCTCAGGTTGCGAATAATTCGCCCTTCATCAGTACTCCACACCGTTCTAATCTGAGAGTCGACAAGTTTGAAGAGATTTACCGTTACTGTCAATCCCAAGCTTGCCACTATGGCAGAAATTTATGCAAAGTCACTACCTGGCTTTAAATTTGACCTAATTCAACTTTGTAAAGTTGCATTCAAGCAACTGATGCTCAAAGTTCTAGAACTACGCAACAATAAGATGACAGAAATCTCATTTTTAAATGCGGTGCTTTCTCAACAGACTGCTCCGTTGAACTGTAGAATGTCATGTCAAAAAGCATTTTCTATCAATGTTTCTAATAGTTAGTACTCAAAAACACACTAAAACTTGTCTATCGTAATGGTTCAGCGATTGAAAACCGAAATCACCAATTCGTTGTTATATCTTCGGAAATAAACGCTAGAAATATGCATTCAAAAAGTGAATGGGTTAGTGAATATTCAAGTACGAACAACTATTCTTTTCATTTTTAATCTTGTTTTCCAAACTGCTCTTTTCACATTCATGAAAAGATGAGACTGCAATTTGCAAACTGCAACAAATTTTTGCTGCAAATGGACAAGTTTTTGAAATATTAGTAAATGCTTGGAAGGATGATGCACTCTTCTCAAAAGAAAATCAAATATAATTATGGTGCATTATCGTGGAATTACATGGTCGCATAAAAACCAAATCATCCACCATATGCGGCGTTGTCATTTCATAACGACTCCAGATTTTCAATTGTTCCACAAAACTCAATTTTGAATGTGAATTGAATCAATTAGACCAATAAAATTTCTTTGCAGTTTACTTACTTCTTATACTTTGAAATAACACTCCTCAGCAGTAATATAGTTATGGGATTTGTTTGGGTAACAGAAAAAAATATTCGAAAAACAAGAGAGATGATTTGCAAGTCCACTTGATCTCTCGCAAAGTAGAGAAATTTTTTGCTCGCAAAAAATTCGTATTCTTTAGCATGACGCTTTCGAAGAATTTGATGTATTGCTAGACTTGATAGGAAACGCTAACTTTCATAACTAAATAACTAACTGAGATTAAATAACTAAAATAACTAAAATAACTGAGGAATTCCGATAAATTATAGAAGATTCAAAAAACGCATTCATTGAACAACACTGCTGTAGATATATATCTTTAAGGACGATCAAGGGCATGCAAGCATGACGACGGCATGTTAATGATAAATAGTAACTATGGACCAGTACTGTCAACAGTGACACGAGTCTCATGCGTACATGATACCATCTTATGATGTTCTGAGTTGCACATTGCCTCTCTAATTCAGTTCAATTCTACATGTGAATCTCAAAATGCTTCAGTAGAATACCATGAAGTCAGCTACTCAATGCACGAATCGCACGCGACTACTCAAACTCGCTCCATAATTTGTCTCTTTTTTTTCAAAACAACATTCTTCCTCACAATCAGCAATAAAACTAATCGCAACTCATTTGCTTTCACCAAACACGGTCCAATAATCAAAAGATGCGTTCTGCGATTGCTTGAACATTAAAACATTCTATCATCTATGAAATTAATGGCTCTCATCAATGTGCATACGCTGGAAACATGACAGAATTACTGGAATGAAACGTTTTTTCACGCTAAATCATTCTAGCGTGCAGCTTATTTCACAATTTGTCATGGGAACATTCCTTCAAAACATCATCAACTGCAACAGTTTTCATGAGAAAGAAGCATGAAAATGATAGCATTCACATGGAACATTTGAAATGATTCATGAAATTAGCCCTTGTAAACAGACGAAAAATTACGCATTTGCAATGTAGCACACTAGAGAACCACAACCAAAACTATGCTTCATTAATATGCAATTCGTCAATCGATTGAATTCTTCTGTTCATCTGAACCGAGAATCAACTCCATTATATGGTAGAAAATTGTGATGTTAAGCTCTCCAACCGTTCACTATGCACACATTCTTCAATGAATCTTCAATGAATTATCGTCTAAAATCAATCAAAGTAATTGAATTTGGCACACAAAGCTCTCGATAAAGTAGTTCTGAAAAGAACCCACATATTATCTAACTCATTACTGAGGCCAACAGACAATTTTTTGCAATTTTCAATGAATCCAGAGCAATTGCCTACTAAAAACTCACACATTCATAGGTGTAAACAAGTGAATCCATTCAATTCCCCTAAATTTTCAGTGAAAACTGCCTTGAATTATCAGAAAATTGATAGTTGGCTTCAAAATTCTATCAATAGTAATGGAAATAGCATTACATAATTGCAATAATGTCAACAATAATAAAAACAATAACAATGATAACGTAATAATGAAAGAATAGTGATAATACTACAGCAGTACCAATACCAATGAAAGCTATCATTATAAGGAGAATAATGAAACTTCAGAAGCGATTTAGAATATTTAGTTTCCTTTACATAATGAGTAAACTTTAAAATATCAGATAACTTAGTTGGTGTGGAGAGCAATTCACTAAGGTCAAGTGCTTGCACCAGTTAGGTCACTTCTCTGAATATATACCGCAACAGAAGGATGATTTGCGTACAATTAAGCAACTTAATGCTTCTTAAACGGCACAAGAAATTAAACCCTTGCTCATTGTTTATTTACTAGGAGTGAAGTGAGTGACACTGGAGGATTTGTTTACTTTCAGACGAAAATGACCATTTACAGTACAATTTAAATCTGCTATGCACAACAAGTGAAAACCATTGCAAAATTATTGCAATAATGCCAAACATATAATATGACTGACCAAAGGTGTTAAATCAGCGAGAATGCAATATAAAATACAGTCAATTCACAATGAAGTTGCGGCCTTTATATCTCACAAACTCTCGTGTTTGCAACGGATAAAACAATCAGGAACAACGTAGCATCAACGTTAATTTCGAAAGGATCATCAACGAGGCGGTCGAATGACCATCTCCGACTGGACATTTTGAGAACATCATATGCTCTCACATAAATTTCGCCAGGACATGTTCAAATAATTATGATACTCTCAACATTAAGTGCAACAAATTTCCTACTATTTTCATCGCAATCAAAACGAGCAAAAAGAGAACGGAATATTCTCCTCAATGGTTTCTTTCGTTCCATTCATAGGAAACTCTTATCTACGATGAACACAAACGACTATAATATTGTTCAGT